CGGTAACTGTTAAAACAGAAGTTGAACTAATTAGGTGTCATCAAGCTGAAGTCAAAGTGACTAAAGAAGTTGATGATGACGAAGTGGAACCAGGTATCAATATTAAAACAGAGCAGGAGAGAGATCAAGATTTGAAGCCAATAATTGATTTTTTAAAAGCAAGTGTTTCGCGTCCTGCTTGGGAGAAGGTGTCTAGTCTAAGCCCTGTGACAAAGCACTATTGGGCACAATGGGACCAGTTAAAGCCTGAAGATGGTATTCTTGTCCGGATATGGGAAAGTGACGATATGGCAAACAGTTATACTGAGGAAGTTATGGGAAGTTGTGTTGCGTCAATCCCATGATAATTTAACAGGAGGACATCTCAGGATTAAACAAACATTGAGTCACCTACGACAAAGATTTTACTGGATAGGTATGAGGCGAGATGTGGAAGAATGGTGCAGGACATGCAGTACATGTAGTGCTAAAAGGGGACCCAAGCATAAGGGACGTCCACCTTATGAAGAGTTGCCTGAGAATGTGTCAGAGTTTGTGAAAGTGTTATCGAAAAGGATGGATGATATTCACCATCAAGTGCGTTCAAGCTTGAAAACGACTGCTTATTCGATGAAGTTAACTTATGATAAGAAATCTACTGAAGTCAGCTTTGTACCTGGAGACAAGGTATGGTTGTATAATCCCAGAAAGACCAAAGGGAAGTCTCCTAAGTTGTCTTCTCCATGGGAAGGCCCATATGACATAGTGGATCGTCTCTCAGACGTGACTTTCCGGATAAAATGTGGGCGGCGAGGTAAGCCAAAAGTGGTGCATTCCAAAAGGCTTTGGCGTTATCACGGTCCAAGATATTTCAGTTGGGACAAAGTGAACAACAGAACAAATGACGCTGCTGAAGACGTGCCACCTGAAGAAGCCACCGTCGAAGAAGAAACTCTACTCAGTTTTGAGAAGGGAAATGGTGAAGCCCTTGATGAAGTTACTACCACTGATGTGACTGTTACTGACAATAGGACATTTCCTGATGAAGCAGATGAACTCCACATGAAGCAGAAGCCAACGAGACGGAGACCGGTACAGAAGAAGATACATCACGTAAAATTAAGAGACTTTGTTGAATTGTAATTTTGTGTTTGTAATTCTGTACATTTAATTAAGCTATTGTTAATTGTTACTGGTTTATTGTAAGTGGCTATTGTTTGGGATGAACAATACTTAAGAGGGGGCAGTGTTGCGTCAGCGAAGTCACGTGGCTAGTATC